ACGATAACGTTTGTTGTTGCGTTTTAAAAAGAGACACTCAGTTTGGAATCTTCAACAATGAATTCGCTTTTCCACTCACGAATCTCTTTGGAAAACTGATGCCAAAAGCTATGGGCAAACAATCAGTTCAGCACAAGGACATATTGCGGGAGATTTTGCAGGAATTCTCACGTTGAGATATTAGATGTGTCCGATAAAAACATGTAAAGTCCATTAAGAACTAGTACTTAGAAGGACGTTTTTGTAACTGATCTAAAATGTGTGTACCAACCGCACAGATTAATAACAACAATACGTTGCTTAAGAGGCGATGAGTGTGTTCGTCGAATTCACCGCAAACTTTTTTATGATTCTACAAAACGACTGCATAATGTGTGTTTACTGAAAGCAATAGTCTAATCAAACACATGTTATTTTGAATTAAATACATTTAAATATATATCTACACCGCTCATTGTATAATAATAACAATTCACGTACCTTAACAAAAAAATAAAACAAACTTAATACAATGTATAAGTTTCATGGCGTACAATTAGACATTAATACAATATGTTTGTGCTATGACTATATATATAAATGATATTATTAAGAACATATTTTGTTTTGCGTCACAGTTTGATACAGATATTAAAAGCGTTCTGCGGTGTCTTCCGGGACGAAGTTTTTTAATGAGTTCACACGACACATGCAGATAGTTTCAAGTGGTTTTGTTACCATTTACACCGGTTCGCCATCTTAAGAATATGAAACCCTAATACGATTTGTTTGAATAATATGTTTTAAGCTACTGCCTGTTAATGACGTAAAGCATACTTTCGAACGGATCATATTTATTAAATCTCATATCTAATGTATTATTACCTGTATGTATTTTTTTTAACAACGCCGTCAATATGAAGCACAACAACTGGTATAAAAAAATTGCGTGCTAAGAGTCGGATATTAGTGTTTTATAATTATAACCGTTCCATATACGAACTACCCTCCGTGTTTGTGTTTTAATGATAATTATGGTCATAAGATTGAACAGATTAGAGAAGGAAAAAACGTGGTTTTCTTCTTTGTAAGTTTGGAGATAATCACATGCGATTTCGACTTGCGACCAGCTGAAATTTCATAATTTTAAGGAAATTCCACAACAACAGGTAATTGTGTGTAAAATACTAGAACACAGTATTTGTTATAAAAAGTGGTTGTAATTGTCTTTTTTCATATTACAGGAGTTTTATATTATCTATTATACAAACTGTAAAGCCAACTCTAACTGTAAATGTCATACACATGAACCCTAACGTCATTTGTTTTGATATGTACCGTAGATGTTACCGTGTTATAGCGGTCACGGGTTAATGACTTAACAATAATCTTCATTTTGTTTCAGTTGACGCCAGAAAAAACTTCTAATTACGCGGTTTTTATTGTTTTATTGGGAATAAACTAGTTCACCCATTTTGTCATGTTAAGGTGGCTATTTAAATCTTGTACTTAATTATAAGGTTTAACATTTATGACGACGATTCAAAGAATAAATACAATTATAACGTCGTTAAAGTAAAAACAATAACAGCAGACTTTCGATCGCGTACTATTGTGTGAATCACTACGATAATAAAATAAAAAATTTAATAAGCTTTGTAGTAATTATGACGTTTACTGATCTTTATCGGTGTAGTTAAGGTCAGCAGAGATGGCAGGTAATATTACTATGCAGTTTACCTTGTACACATCACGCCGCATTTGAGGTATAATATTTTAGGAATTCCATAAGATCATTAAAAAAACTACCTAAACTGTGGTGTAGTTTGTCTTTAGCGTTTTCTGTTTTTGATTTGCGACCCTTTGTTCGCCTGACAAACAAAACCGAGGGGGTTGCAATGCCCCAAAGCACTATGTGGAAGTAACGATAGAGGCCCAAGCGTCGGTGACTATTGTACACGATAAACTGTTTGACGAAGCATAGCAATTCTTTTAATATTTTTGTACGGATAATATTTTCTTTATTCGGTTCTTACGCATCCTACCAGTCATTTGTTAGTAAAGAAACCAACGTTATTTATTTATTCTTATTTCTAATATTTGTTTTCTATTGTTTCGTTTATTCTGTACTCGCAGAAGATTGTGCTTCACGAAAGTTCTCAAGAAGATCATAGTGTTATCGATTCGAATGATGAAATATGAAGACACGATTATAATTAATCCGTTCAGACAATATTACTGTTTTTAGTAGTTCAGGCCATCGAGTCTAATATAATAGTGTCAATTATTATAAGAACAAATCGCTCAATAATACAAACTCTGTAACTGACCGCATGCTGTCCGTAGAGATAATTTTGTGCGGTTTATGATTCCTAGTAATCGTTATGCGATGATTACATTAATTTAAAAACTTATGATTATATAGATGTCTTGTTTTGAGTAAACGATTTACTAATCAACAGTTACTTGCAACCAAAACATTCGCAATTCTCACAATGATGCATAGTAGCACATAGTGGTGCGCATTAAACATGCACCAGTAGTAAGATCCTATTAGAGTTCAATATTAATAATATTTTATGAATAATTACACATTATCATGTTTTAATCATGCAAAACGAATACGTTTAACGCATAAACTAGTTTTAGGTATTCGAAGACTAGGTCGATTTTAACGGATTACGGCGATATGAGAAGTTCATTTAAAGGAATAAAGTTCCAACTAATATTTGGATACTAATTGCAGGACTATTGGTCCGGTTGATTTATTCAATAAACCCAACGGTTATTCGCGTGTGACAGTTGTTATCGACATGAAAAAACATAATCAGTCTCAGACTATAGCGAAGAATTAGTAATGGGCGTTATTACCAGAAATTCCCGTCTGGCCTGCAGGTAGACATTAGAGATATGCGTTTTTTTCCCCAATCAACTAACAGACAAGAGAGTCTGCGTTGGCGATCGGTACCATTTTTTCTCCATATACATACACAGTCTTTACCGATTTCATTGTCTTTCATGTTTTATTACAAGCCACGTAGTCAATTTTGTCGACGTTATGTTTTCAATGGGATTGTGAACGGTCCGAAGGTGTACGAGGCCACAGTATTTCTCACGGTTGCTTACCGCCGTGCAGAATATTAACGCAAAAAGTTGTGGTCCGACAATTTAAAAAAACGAACGATTGGGCATCGATTTATCAGTTTGAACCGCAAAATCTATTGGCACCAGACCGACTTGTTGCGAAATTGTAAGTTTGAAAAATAATAAATAAAATAATGTATTATGGCTGGGAGCATACTAAACGCATACGTGTAACGACCTCAACAAATCACTCGGCGACGGCTTGCTAACATTGTACTTATGTGAAGAATTTGCATCTTGCAAGGCATCATGCTGTGAGGTTGTGTGTATGCGAACATGACTGTATAGGATTGCACATAACAACACCATAGGGTCGGTAAACCTGGCAAGTTTTGCCTACCGGAGAGCTTTGTTAATTTACTCCACTGAATCGACTAGCATTAAAATAAAATTTATATTAAAAGTAAAAAATGACAATCCTGAGGCTCAAGTGACTCATTTCAACGGCAAGTACTTCGGAAATTCTCGGCGGGCGTTGCAAATGAGAAACAGCAGTGATTTTAAATGTGCTTTGCCGACATAACAAACTCGACAATCAATACACACAATACTTCTGAATACCGAGAACTAGATTCTTATTAATAATTCATCGAAATCGTATTTAAATATACGAGATGTGTTTGCGTTCTACTCTATAAACAAAAAATTTAATCACTCGATTGTTGAACAATTCCTATAGTATAAATTTGGTTCTTTTTCAATGTTCCAATAAACGCGGAAAATCTTTTAATGGTCTTGCACATTATGTGTGAAAAAATATCCGCCACTTAAATAATTTACATAATCCAAACGATGTCGTGCTTTAGATTAGTTCATAACATTTACACATAACACCCATTACAATTTTTTTAGTCTACATTTATTACTTACACTTACATGATAAAAAAAAGATACAAAAGACGTCCCTACAACCACAGATATCATGTAAAGTCTATTTGAAACTCGTTTAAAAAAAAATAAAAAAATTGTGTGTTCCTTAGATACTTGGAGCGTGTGTCCACCAGAGAACCGGTTTCATCGCAGCTTGAATGTGGCCAAATGATATGTACATTGTCAACAGAGCAATATATGAATGTAAAATGTGTGCGCTGGGTAAAACCCGTGCACCTGTACCCCCTCGTCGACCAAGCGTGCAAAATCGTAACACTATGTCGAAATCAGAACAGATGGGCGCACAAAAACATCCAAAAAGGGAAACTATCGATGAAAGTCATTTACAACGTTCTGTTGTGGACGGCTTTAACGTAGTCGTAGGAGCTGCCCGTTTTTTGTCGAAAGGCGGTTATTTATATTTACTGGGCGTCGGGTAATTTGACAAGATCACCGTTCTATTTTCGTTCCTACTGGGCATACTCAAGTCAATACGCCTAGAAAAACAGCAATTACAAACAAGAGCTAGTGCGTGTGGAGCTGAACACTAGTCGAGAGTCAGAAGTGTTCGTAATGGGCTCGGATCAAAACAGTGGCAGTGATTAATAAAACAACGTCTTGGAATTGTTTTCACGGAGAACAGATCGCGTTAAATTACACGAGTATTGCCGACAACGACATGTCAGGTGCGTGTAACCAAGTAATGGAGAATCGCGTTCTGCCACCGGTGTAACACGCGACTCGCACGAAGGTCGTAACCGACAAATAATTACTCGACCAACGATAATGATGTTATTAATAATAGTATTGGTCGGGTAGCCGACAATCGAGTCAAACGCGGATCCCTCGGAGACCTCGACGCCCGCGTTTGAGACGTCCATTGTAAAAGGTCCTATAGATTTACATTAACCGTATCGTTGAAGACTGTGTGTACAACTCGACTTGCAGTCGGTCATGGGAAAAACACAATAACACGAAAAAACAACGTTATAGGCACAGGTACTCACCACTAGACGAGCAGCAGCAGCACTCATCCGAGTCGCACATGTCGGTCCTGGTGCATGTGAAAAAAACCGAAACCCGTTGCGACGGCGGCGCACTAAACTAAACGACCGATTGCCATACAGTGTACAATTGCTACTGTTTGTATGCAACAACGTGAAACGACGGCGGCGGCGGCGGCGGCGACAGACAACACGCACGACGGCGACCGTACGACGGAATGAACGGACCGGCAACACTAACAGAGTCGGCGGCCACTGTCATATCGGCACGCTTCGCCCGTTCGGTCTTTCCCCCCCAGCCGTCTCGACTCTTTCTTCCCACCGCAATGTGATGTTATCCACTGCGGGATGACGATAATTATTGTTACTACCGTATCACTGTACTGGGCCTATACGTCATCGATATCATAAAAACCACCTGTTTTTTTTATTTATTTACCTTTTTTTTTTTTTAACTCGACTTCCGACCTCCGTGACCAACTCCAAGTCAAACCGTCTGCATAAAATACTGTTCTTGCGCACGGCATAATGTTACTACTATTACATTTGTTTGTTTATATGATTTTTTTTCAATTCTCAACGTATTAAACCTTTCCAAAGACCTCGTGACTTCGTGCGATGACAGTCCGCACAAATTTGTTTGTTTTATTTATACACACGAATGTTATTATTTTTTCATTTATTTCCATACGCCTACAATTTCCTCGTTAACGGTGTTTACATAATATTAACGAATCCGCGGCCAACGACTTTATTTACATTATTGTTTTTATTATTTTTCTTATCAATTTAAAATTAAACGATCTTGTGAAACTATTTCTAACAGAAATCGCTGTTGTGAAAATAATAGTAAAATAGTACAATAATAATAAAAAACACCTTTAATACAATTTTGATTTTTTTTTTATATAATAGTGATATTGTTTTCAAAAACTTTAGAGTGTTTAAATTAAACTTTAAGTATGATACTTGATTCTAATTATCAAAGTGTTTTGACCTTTTGGTAAGAACAATTTTTTCAAAATATTAGTAATTTAATTTAGTTTTGTGCAATTAGTATGGATTCAAATGTGGAATAAACTACTAATTAATTACAAAAAATTTAAATGGGGTACTTATTATAAGTAATCAAAAAAAAAAAACCAAGGTTTTTAAATCAGGTTCTTTTCAACTTAGTAGCACTTTTTGTACTAGATTTATTAATTCACTAAAGAATTAATAGCGATAAGAAATCTTACATAAAATACCGATGAAAAAAACTACGGATAAATTACTGTAAATTTTATGTATTTTTAAACAGATGCTTAAGTATTACATTATAATAATACTTACTTTTGCCATTACATGATACTTAATGAGCAAATAAGAAGCACATGTTTAGCATAAGTTATTATAGTAATACACAAAATACAAATCTTATACTTGTGAAATCTGCAAATCACATTTAACATTTCTTGTTATATTTTATAATGCACTCTAAAGCAAAAGTATTTTAATAATTCTTATGCAAATGTTGAAGCTGTTTTGGCATATTTAATTTTTTAATTAGTATTCAATTTTTTTACTTCATTGGTAATATTTAAAATGTGATATCGGAATAATTAAAAAATTAAACACACTTACACAATATTTGCATGCAAACATCATTGGAAAGGTTAGATGACGTATTAATTCTGGATATTATTTAAAATTTGGTTTGTAAATAATAACTATTATATTGCTGGAAATCATGGTAATCCGTTTCATTTATATTACTTTGTTTGTAGATTTGTGGATTATTCTAGATGATAATATGTAAATCTCATTAGACATTTTTTGACATTCTGTTAAGACTCCTGAAATTATTTGAATTATTTCTCAGAACGATATCAAGATGCATTAAAAGTGTTCATATTTAGAGTAGTCAATTGTAATTAAGTAACTGATTGATCGACACTTTAAGTATTATAAACGTGTTCATTCTATAGTTTTGTTTCAATGTATCAGAAGTGTAAGTTTGTAATGTTTGTTAATGAGCAAAATGTATTTATATTTTTAGCTTGAAGTCTTATTTTAACAAGGCGTTGTACACTTGAGATGTAATTAAACTTTATGTAGCCAAAACGGGCGATCCTTTCTAGAGCTCACGACTATAAGATCATTTCTAAATTCAGTCTCTACTAGTTTATTTACTTATTAAAAGGTATAACAAGTATATCTTAGAAAGAATGAAATCTTTATATTAAAGCGGATTTTTTTTTTACTTTGTCATTTGAATATATTTCATAAGTAGTCTAATAACTATAATTATAGTTAAACCTATTAATTAACCTAATACACTTAACGATTATATTCAAGTTATTTTAGTTGTTTATCATAAGACTAAGATAAAACAACTTAAAGTGTTAAAAATAAAAGAGAAAATAATAAATTTGACAAATGGTTCGTTGAAGGCGTGGCGCGATTGTCTGGCGTTCACAATAAAAATCTGAATCAAATTCGAAATATCAAAACTTGACAGATTGCAAACGCTGTTAAGATAGTGAAAGTATCCAAACGCCACATAAAGTAAACCAAATTAACTGTATATTATATTTTTATCAATATTGAATTAATAACTAAAAATAATTAGTTAAAAACTTTAATTGCNATATTGAATTAATAACTAAAAATAATTAGTTAAAAACTTTAATTGCCAATAAAAATAAAAAGTTCTAATTATTATTTATCTACGTAACTCTAATCAAAATTGGGAACAGTTACCTTCCTCATAGGCGCCATTTGTAGTGAGGGGATATAGAGGCTTAGCTCCCTAATTATGTTCATATTGCGCCTATAATTTGATTATTTTATTTTATAAATGATATCGTTTATTAAATAATAGGTAAATCTTTTAATGTCTTACTGTTTTTGTTCGGTTTTCTCTCAGGAGAAGATATACCTCGTCCTCCCAATAATAGTTATCCACAAATATCTTCTCCTAAAAATAATTTATATTAAAAACTATTGTACTAATATTACAGATTTAACTAACAAGAGAATTTTTTATGATAATAAAAACAATTCTTTTACTAAATACTATTAATATTTTTTTTATATAAAACCAGTAATTTTATTTTAACCCTTTTTTCTATTAACTCCCGATAATTAAAACCGATAAGGTTCTTATAAGGATATTACACGTTTAGAATTGTTCATAATAATTCATTTTAACGTTCATATTAGAACACAATTTCAACTAGTTAATTTGACCCAATTATATATATTTCATATTCCGCCAAGAGTTTTATGTTTTAACCTAAACATATGTTCATTGTTCATAGGTCCAACTTATTTTTATAATTTGATATCCCACGCAATCATATATTTTGGAAATCGTTGTAGTTTTACCAAAATAACCGGAAATAACGGTCAAACAAAAAATGATGTCTAAATAATAACGATTATTGGGTTCAGCGTACGAATTGACTATAATTATTAATTTCGATACTCTGTAATTCGCAATCAGACGGTTGACGGTTAAATTATTCATTCATGATTAAAATTTAGCCAATCATTTATTTTTGTAATTTAGTAGGTCAAAATACAATTTATAGTACAATATGATAAATTATATGGGATATATCAATTAATTGATATCAGATTCGTTCATGACTTTGAGAAACTATCCCTAGCTATATTATTTTAAATAAAATAATTATAAAGAAAAAAAAAATAATAATAAAATGTTAAATCAACGAGCTGATACTTTTAAAATAGAATCGAACAGGGTTTAAAATCGAATCAAAAAAACTCGTCTAAAAACTTTTATAGTTCTCATCATAGAAATAGAGATATTTTTATTGATCTTTAAATGTAAAATGCATGTGTTCTAATTACATTAGTTTAAACTTAAATCAAACAAGGACGCTCAGTACCACAATAAACATTTTATGATTATTTAAAAATTGACGGAATTCAAAATAATGCAACATTAAAAAATAGAACAAAATTTTAAATTACGGAAGGTAATGCAAATAGAAAATGCAAATATGATTTGTGAAAAAACTGGTTGTCAAAGAATAACAATATTTAAATTAAATTTAAATAAAATAATCTTGATTACGTACTCGTATCTTCTAAATTATACAAAATAATTTTGCGTTTACTTAATTTTAAAGTTCATAAACTTGTTTATAAGCTACTTTTAACATTTTTTTTGTAATTATACACTGTTAATAGTACACACGTGTAGTGTAATTGTTGACATGATGTATCAAAAATTCCTATATAAATAGAAAATGTTATCACTATTTTACAAAAAATTACCTTACCTTACCTTATATGCGCAGTGAAAATTCCAAATTTTTTTTTTTTAAGAATTTAACGATTTTAAATTATTTATATTCAAATTTTTGAATAATTGTATCAAATTAAATTAAAAATGATTCCTGTATATTTCTTAAATTTAAACAGTACATTATTCAAGTAACAAAACAGTATTTCTTTAGTATTTATTGTGATGTGTGATACTATTAATTAGGATAAAAACCATTTATGACTCAATTATTTTTATGAAAACCTTCTTCCGTGTAAAATCGGTCTGATTATGTGTATTACTTCTTAGGTTCACGAAAATTTTGCATAATATTTTCTGTTAATCGTGTGAGCATTTTCAATTATTTTTTTCTTTGAAATTTATCTGATTTACCTACAATCTTATGTAATGTTTTAATAACAGTCACGCTGCTTAGTTTTCAAACGAATTTAATAAAATTAAAACAATTTTTCCTACACTATATCTCTGTAGAAATCTCCAAAATATTAACATTTGTCTTTTACTGCAAAATTCATCGATTTATCTTGTAGATTGACATGAAGCAAAAAACAGGTCATTAGAATGTACTTAGCTTTCAAATCAAAAGAAATGCTATCAATTATTACAGTTTTTAACAAATAGGGATGGAGTAATACATGCAAATATTTATGTGTCGAGTTTTAAATACTAATGCATCGTAACGTTAAGTACAAGAAGATTGCGAATTTTTACGGCACGCCTTTAGGACTTAATTAAGCATAAAATATCGTCGTATTCAGTCTCCAAAACCTCGTTCATGACCTTAAGCACACGCGCACACATCTTCCATATAATTGAGCAGCTTAGCCGGCGGCTCTCACCGTTTCTATTGTATTCCGGATACATTTTGTGTTTTTTTCCTCCATTCAGTTCTTCATAAGCCATATTATTATTCGATACTTCCATTACGCACGTTTTAATAGACGTTATTAGAAGTGTACGGAGAGCACATTCAACTGTATGGGAAAAAATATGAAATCGACACACCCGCGAAACGCGTAAATCGCAAGTCAATCTTACAATTACTGGCGACATTGAAAATTGTTATCGCATCGCGTGCGGCACAGTTTGTCCAAAGTTTAGAGTGTTATTACATTTAAAATATTTTCTGTCAAGAACGAAGGGGTGGAGACAAGTGAAGGAGAAAAAAACCTGTCGAAGTTATTTGTTCGTGTCCGTGGAAAATTTGCTTCGGCGACAAAGGACTGCGTCGTAATTATACACTACATGATCTCAGTCCCCATTTGATCACGTCAGTGTGCTCATCACAAACGTACATTTATTACACATTTGCAGTTAATCGAGTAGGATACTTACCTATAGAGTTCAAATAGAGTTAAAACTTATAAAAAAATTTCTTAATCTAAGTTACCGAACATATTTTAAAATCTTTTACTTTTCGATTCCCTAATCAGGAAGTACAGAGTTATTCTCAACAATTTTTTTTT